ATGTTTACAACTTTTCATAGAAGATCCCTGTTTACTGTGATATTTTTGGTTATTTCAACGCGATTTCATGAACTAGCTACATCATCCATTTAATTCTAAGAATTATACTCGTATAATACTTATATTAATTTTACAATCCAAATTAATGCCTTCATTTCGGGAAAAATCAATTAGACAACAAGTTTCTTTCTTGTGTTAACATCTTGTTATGTTCCGACGACGAATTTTTTTTCTAAGTAAGATTAAAGCTGTGGTGGCTCAAGTGCCGTAAGTACTTTTATTTTTCCACTCGGGAGGCTGGGGCGCAAATGAAATTTCATTTCCTGCCCTTTTTCTTTCTTTGTGCCGAGTTAAGTACAATTCTCATTAGCATATTTATTAATTGCGAATTTCTGTAACAGAAGACATACCTAGTAACCTGATGGTCATGGCGAAGGAATAAAACAATTGATGATTTTTTTTCTATTCACAATTTCAAATACTGCTTTTAATACAAAATTTTATCGAATTATAAATAAACAACTGATTAGGGACTCCTAAGTACGATGATGGATTGAAACATTGTATATTGTTCAAAATTTCTCGCTATAAGGATTACTCGCATATTCAAAGGCAAGATAGGAATGAAAATGCGAATTCGCTTCGTAGAATATCTAAAAATATACCCCTCTTCATGCTCTAGCAGGCTTCAAGAAGTAAAATATGCCCCTTGTACACACTTTACGTGGAAATATTAGGGGTTAAAAATATGAAATTGAAGTAATGTCTTTTCAGTGAAAATTCAAATTAGAAACTGTTTTCAAATTAACTTTTAAATTTTATAATTTAGTAACCTGAATTGAAGGTTTCATTTTCAGGGTTATTCATCCGTTTTCGTTTTGGCTAATATTGTATTTGCTTACACAGATACGTAATGCAGTACAAACAAATATTTACGAAGTGTATGGAGTAGATACAGTAACGAATGCACTGTGCCTTTTTCGTTTGTTCGATTACGCCTGGATAAGGACCCTTGTGAACAACTGGAGCTTAAATTGATCAACCGTAAATCACGTAGGAGTTAGCATATGATTTAATAATATAAAGCGTTTGTGATAAAAAAATCGGACAATGTTCACAAAAGTACCTATCCTATTTTTTGGTGGTCTAGTGTATTGATAACATGCATGTACGAGTATATTAGAGTATATAAAAAATGACAATTTTCAAACAAATTTTTCTTTTTGAATTATCATATGTATAAGTAAATTACCATACTTTGAAAAGTCGTCTACAGCGGCCATAATTAAAATAAGGAAAATAAAAAGAATTATCGAATGACGACTACAGTATGTCTTGAGGTTTTAAATAATATTTCCAGACTTTTCAAACGTTGCACAGTATTTTTTTACTCCTAAAATCGGACATGTCCCTGTTAACAAAAGAATTAGAGAAAACGTTTCATTCCGAATGCATGAGTAAAACTAAAAAAAACAGACAATCGTCTGGCATTTTTTTTCTAAATACTTCTCTTTGGCATAACTTCCAAAAAAAAAAGAATCGAACAGAGAGACGGTCGAGATACAACAACGCTATAAGTATCTCATTTCCACCACATCGGGAAGTATGCCTTACATTTTGAACAATTGTGACATAATAATAGCGCCTCCGTATACTACCTAAGGACGGTGGCGTGCCGACTAGTGTTGAGTTACTCATACACGAGGTAACTCTTTGTACCACTAGCTTGGTTAGTTTGTCACTACACTTCATGTCATAAAAATGTCCCACCTCACATCTCACCTCATGTCATAGTCTCATGTCACACTGTTTCGAATTCGAATGAATGACAGAGCGCGAGCGTTGAGGTGTTCAGGCGATGTATATGACAACGAGGAACTCGAGGGAGTGAGTAAGACATAGCACGTCACTGTGACTTGAGATCACACGAGCTCACGAGCCCGAAACGAAGTGTACCACAACACAAAGTACAAAGTGTCAATGTCACAGTCCTGTCCAGGCGTGACTTAATGCCGGGTTCATGAACTGTATCGAAATTCGCCGGTAAAATTTTGAGTAAAAAACGCGTATGTTCCTTTATCTTGACATTGGCGGAAACATCGAAGGTATCGATGGAGCTATAACATTTTAGAGAAGAAAACTTTTTTCCATCCTCCTAAGTGTCCAGGCAATAGTTTAGTTATTTCGAAAATTATGTTTTGGGACCGATTGCTTTAAAAATCTCTTTGGTTTGATTACTTACTTTAAAAAGTTTGAAAAGGTGTTATTTAATGATAAGTATTGATTACATTTAAATATACCAACATTACTTAGATATCTATTTACCCGAAGAATTATTATTTAATGCTATAAACATTTGGAATCAGTTTATTTTCTATTAATTTATTAATTGTGTATAAAATACATAGTATCGGTATTGAAACAGTAATTAGTCCTGCGCTTTTTAGCTGATTATACATCATACGATCATACACTACCATAGTACTAAATAAAATTAGCATTTATTTATACTATATCATAACACTTAAGTTATCCAATTGATTGATACCATCAAATTATGAAAATGTGCTTAATGTCAGTTGAATCGTTGCCGTAGTCACCTCATTTGAAGTAGGACACCACCTTTATTTTGTACCACCTTATTTTTTCAAACGATGTACTCCCTCAAACTCATTTTAATTTTATGTTCCAACCCAACACTAGTACCGACGCTTCGGGCTTCGTCCTCCACTAGACCTCGGCCTACGGCCTCGGCACTTGTACTATGGCTAAAAGTAAATTTTGACTGTAAATTATTATTAAACACCCATAGAGAACACCATATGCCGATTTTCAGTGGAATTAGAGCAAATTTTTATCTACCGCCAAAAAAGTTTGTATGGTAGCCATATTGAAAAATGACTAAAAGTAAATTGTGACCGTAAATCATTATTAAATACCCATAGAGACCCCGACATGCCGATTTTTCAGTCGAATTAGAACAAATTTTTATCTGCCGCCATTGACTTACAATTATATGGACGTCGGGTCCGCGCTAAAAAGTGTCCGAACTTATAGGGCGTTAAAATCGTATACAGAGCGTCATTCACGCTTTAGTCTTCGTTTGTTCGACTGACAGCGAAGCAAGCAAAATTAGACAGTACTGCGATGACATTACAATTTAAATTCAACGTTTTAGCTTTTTCATATTCCTTTACATGTTACTACGTTTAAATAGGTTGACTTGGGACATTTTTTTTCGTGGTTTTTGTGTTAGACCCGTCGTCTATTTATTTGTAAGTCAATGTCTGCCGTCAAAAAAGTTTGTATGGCAGCCATATTATATTGAAAAATGGCGAAAAATAAGTTTAGATCATAAATTATCATCAAACACCCACATGCCGATTTTCAAAGGATCAGAGCATTTTTTTTCTACCGCCAACGAACGCTTGTATGGCGGCAATATTTGAAAATGGCGAAAACCAATTTCGAGCACAAATTATTATCCGGCACTTCTAGAGGCAATGACAATTTTCAGCCGAAACAAATCAAGTCTTTTCTAGCAGCTATTTTTAACAAAAATAACGCTTATATGGCAGCCAAAAAAAAAAAAATATAATTAAGGACTCCTAAAGACCCCCCGCTTGTCAATTTTCAGCCGGATCGGAGCAAGTTTTTCTTCGGCCATGGCTTCTTGAATTAATTTTCACACAGGCAGTTGACCACTCTTACCCTCTATGATATTCCTTCGAGCACATCGTGCCTATCTCTAATAGTTTCCGTGACAGAAGGCTCCAAAATTCGTATGACGGCCATCTTGTTTATTTGAATTTCGAACATTTTTTACGTTCGGCGGATATTGACCAGGGTGTACCTCTTAAAAGTGCAAAAATATTCCCTCCATGTATTATAGTTTTTGCAGGACGTTGATCACTCTTTCATATTTTCCACATTCAGGTCTCCTTATATTTGATTCTTTGCTTTGGAACCTATCCGCGTACAACGGTTTAAATATCTTTTTTACACCATATCGGGAAGTATGCGTTCTATTTCTATCAGTGAGTAAGAACTTGTAGCTTTATATTCTATGAAATGAAATGATACTATTTTTCCGGATTTAAATCGCGTATACAATATTAACAACCGTGACCATGGGACATGTAAAGAGCCCGAAACGTTGGTTTGTTTGAAAAAATAAATATACTTACGCGATTTAAATCCGGCAAAATAGTTTCATTTCCTATTTCTATTTGTGGTTTCTATTTCTTTTTATTTCCCAATACGCATTAGACTAGCGCGGCGGCCTGTCCTAAGCCCTCATTGTCAGAGAAAATCAACAGTGAGACGTGTAATAAATTGGTGATGTTGGTGACTGGTTGGTCTACATTCTCACCTGATGAAATGTGAACGAGGACTGCACGTGCTCGCTTAGAAGCCATTTGTTCACTCTAACCTTGGTATATATTTCGACCCAAAAACCGAAATAATAATTGAATGCCTAATAATTGAATGTTCAATCAATAGTAATTAATGACTCTTGACGGCAATGCCTGAAATAGACCATAAAATAAACATAAAAAAGGTAGAGGTTAAATCTATAGGTATGTGTTCTTTTCATATTTACTGAAACTAAACTTTTAAGTTTATACTTAGTTCATGAAAACGGTGTCTTTCCTTAGTTTTAAGTAGCAGCAGAGCTTCTTGTGAAAGAGTTCGTCCTGGGAAGTACTGGCACCTTGCTTACTTCTGCCGCCAAACAGTAATGTTAGCATCACCGCGCTCCGGTTCTGAAGGGCAAGGTTGCCGGTGAATTTACAGGCACATGGGACTTGTCTACTTATGTCTCAGGGTGACGGGCCCAGTTGCAGTGTCAGATCTCGGTAATTTAATGATCTGAGTGGCAGAAATTATCTTTCTTTTTAGCTAAATATAAGTATATATTGAGATAACTCCAGGAAAAAGGTAACATTAACTTCGTTACTCATATGTTATCCAAATTACAAGTTGTAATTTGTTTTCAGGTGTACCTACTCACTTTCACTAAGCAGGGATCCAACTCTGTATTTGGGTAAGTTATATTTTGGTATTATATGCATAATATTATGTTACATTACCCTTTTGACACCAAAATAACTTACTTATTTCGTACCTTTGAGACTTTATCGTTTAATTAATAACGACCAAAACTCTGTAAATTTTGATTTATTTTAGGGATATTAGGGTCACCGAGTACGTACATGAATAACCTCAAAAAATTGTGTTAGATACTTATACTTTTGCGTTTTTCTAATCGTAATCGCGTATATTTGTTTCTTCAAACAAATCAACATTTCGGGCCCTATTTTTCACTGTGGATGGTTTGTATTAAAATTAGATAAAACTGGTTGATTACTTTTCCATCTCAGTCTGCAGTGACCATGGAACCTGTAAAGGGTTCGAAACGTTGGTTTGCTGGGAAAGAAACAATTTAAATGCCAATAAATAGTTTCATTTTGATAGGCATGGGTCTCCGCTCAGGCGTGGGCTCAGGATGCAATGCGGGTTCGGGACTTCACACGTTTTCCAATAAATAATATTATATAATAAATTTCCAATTTAGGAAACGAATATTTCTAAGTTGGTTCTGGTCTGGGCATTGCCCTCACAGTTATTCTTATTCTGGTATTCATAGTACAGGAAATTCCCGAATTTGAGACATCTCTTAGTGTGATTGTCATTTCGATTGTCGGCGTTTTTTCCCTAAAACTTCTCTTTGGCGTAGCTTCCAAGAAAAAGGAATCTAACAGAGATACGGTCGATATACAACAACGCTTTATGTATCTAATTTCCACTACATTGGCTAGTATGCCTTACATTTTTAACAATTGTGAGATCTTGTACTCGTAATAGAGCCTCCGTATACTATCTACGTACGGTGATGTGCGGGCGCTTCGGGCTTCGCCCTTCGCGGACATCGGCCTCCGGCTTCAGCACTTACGATTTTATTAAAAAAAAAAAAATAGCTCTTTCAATGGCGGCTATATAATAAAAATTGCAAAAATATATTTTAACCACAAATGATTATCAGATAATCCTAAAAATCTTTTGCAATTTTCAGCCCGAGCAAAGCAAGTTTTTTCAACAGCCTATGAACGTGAACGGCTATATAAAAAAATTGCGGATACAAATTTTTATCCCAAATTATGATTGAAGACATGCAATTACCTGTGTTTAGAACTGCAGGGAGGTAAGGGAGGGATGTAGGGAATGCCCTGTAATATAAGCACCAGAGCTAGGAAATCAGGAGCACTACCCAGAACACCCAGACTACAGCCAATTTAGTGAAATTAATTTCCTAAATGGGTCGTACCAGGGATTGAACCCGGAAGCTCCTCATTTAAAGCACAATGCAGAGCGTTGGGCCACGATAGTCGTAAAATAATATATAAATGTAAATTTCACAAGGACATTTTGTAATCTGCCTTTGGAAAATCATAAAGCTCGTGACAGTACTTAGAGAAGTTTTATTTATAATATTTTAACTTGGGCTAAACAATTTATTTATAATTTGTAGGTAACATAGATATTATTCATGTAAAATGATTTGCTTAAAATGAACAGGACGGAAGTCGTAAGTGTAAAGTCAGGAATGAAAAGAAAATGTCGAATACACGGAGTTCGATCGAGGAGTTTTCCTCTCATCGACGTTTAATCTGCTCGATCTGCCATTAGATTCGCAAGTTGGGCCATTCTTTGGTAATTTATGTGAGGTCTGTACCCGGGGCAAGCGCAGGTTTAGTTTACGCACGTACGTCCCTGATTTATTTATAGATAGATAACTTCATTACTCTTAAATTGAATCTCCTTCACGACAGGTCAAGAAGAGACTATTTCATGCTTTGGGAGTCGCAGAAAAAACTTTTAATCATTACAGTATGTTGGGAAAATCATTGCAGATTCTGTGAAACAGAATTTACCTACTTATTCGTAATCGACAATTAAATTGATATGCATCAAAAGATTCTGAGTGATCAAAAGATGTGAAACTTGACATTTCAATGTCCATGTCATGGATATAGTAGCCCTTAATCACACAGACATTTAGAAGAAATAAAAAGACATTCGTCGACACGCGTTCTGTAACACAGAAAATTGCTTTTAAGAAATTTGTATTAAAAGCGTTTCGTTCATCAAATCTCGTTAAAACTTTTCCCATTAAACATCTTACTTTAGTAAAAATGCTTTCATCTAATATTAAAGTTAATAATGGTATACGATTTCAAGTTAATTGAGAAATATCTGGATCCTTCTAATCGGCTTCCTTAATGTTTGACTTGGAGTTAAGCGCGCTTAATTTGTTTCTCCGTTGTTTACTCTGGCGACTCTGTATTTCTGTATTTGCAAGCTACATTCTATTTTTTTTAATAATATGTATCTTATAAATACCGTTTGTTTGTTGAAACAGATAAGATTTATAAAGTCACATGTGATCATACGTCAAAAGTGCTTTATTACATGAAAACCATTAAAATAATACAAATTACATGAACCTAATTAATATCCTATGAAACATAAAAAAGTTACGGTCTACTTTCGTTCGAAGAATCTTTAAATCTCTCTCTTGAAAAGTTGTAATATGGGCCTATTCCACTAGTCCCTACCAGCTGTCTCCCCTGGTGGGAACAAGTATTTTTTTTCCACTCTTAGCTGCCACACCATCACTGACTGCAGATGAGGACTTATTACACAAAAGTCCGATGTGTCGAAATGTTTTTAAGAGCGGTTACACACGCGCAACTTTAAGTAGCGATGCAAATGCGCGAATGCATCGACACAAACACGCGATTACATCGATCACAAGTGTAGCGATGCAATCGCGCCTTTCACGAACGCGCGTTTGCATCGCTGCTAAAAGGCGTCGTGTGTAACCACTCTAAGAGGGAACTTGCTGTTGAATAGATAATTTCATGCAGTTTACAGACGTAAAGATTTCAATATTCGTTGGTCAAAACATTACTGTTAGGATAGGCATTGTTTGATTAAGACTTGAAAGGAGCATGGAATTGCTAAATGTGTATGCCTGTCGTTATGTGTTTGACAGGTTCGAAATGAATTTTCCGTTTCCCCCAAGTACCTATTGTGTAATTGAAATACATTTGTACCTTAATTGATTTTAAAAAGGTGTGTTTGGCCGTTTAAAAAATAAACAAGGTGCTTTTTTGTGCTGTGATGCGATCTCCCACTTAACGTTTTGGTTATGATATCATTACTTAAATGTAAAGAACTTTTTCTACTCCTCTACCTTAATCTAACAACTATAATTTCATAAACCATGTTATCACAAAGAAGCTTTAGTTCAGAATCAAAATTCTAGTGGTCTATCCATGGTACTTGCTACCGAACTGAAAAATGTCATATAGTTCTCTACACAGTACTATAAAGAGCATTATAGTTCTGTACACAGAACTATCTTAGTAGCAGTAGAGCTCCTTGTGAAAGAGTTTGTCCAGGGAAGTGCAGCCACCTTACCTATTTTAGCCGCCAAGCAGTAGTGTCAGCATTACTGTGTTCCGGTTTTGAAGTGTAAGGGTGCTGGTGAAATTATAGGCACAAGGTACTTGTCAACTTATGTCTCAGTGTGACGGGCGCAGTGGCAGTGCTCCTTAGATCTTTTCGATTTAAAGCACTGCAAATGTTATGAACAGGTGTGTAGCTTATCATTAGGCGCACGATTTGTTCGACCCGTCTCTTGATGTTACAAAAAAAAAACTATAATGACTTTAAAAAAAAAAACATTTTATTTTTGCTAATTAAAATATCCAATATGACGCTACTCAAACGCTCTACTGCCTCCCGATTAGTTAAATTGGCCTAAAGATTGTGCAATCAGGACATAAAATTTAATTAAACAAAATATACATTAAATATTGGTTCTGTTTCATTATTTTAATTACTCGCAGAAAAAGTATTGTTTTCAATCATTACCTAATTAGGTCTTAAAATCTCGTACCTATTACTTAGGCCACTCGGTAAATTGTCGTGGCCTAAACACGGTACTCGACTTTAAGAACCCTCATTATGCAACGATCGCATAAAATGGGTACCATTTTCATATTTGAGGTTTTCATACGTATTTGCTTACCCAGAAAAGTTTCGATGCATTTTTCTCGTAACGTTTAAAGTGCATTAAGGTATGAAATTGTCTGTCCATATCGAAAAATTGAACAAAAAATGATTTACATAATTATACTTTTTTTTTTACAAAAGTTTGTGAAATTACATGTAATTTCATGTCGTTTCATGTAGATTCACAAATGTTGGAATAATTGCGTAATACACATAAAAAGTAAAGTCGAATTGAGAAACTCCTCGTTTTTTGAAGTCGGTTAAAAGTAAAATTTATTTAGTCAATATAATGACGATGCGACATCCTTCATCGTCATCCCACCTTCTTATCACCCTCTTCTTGGTTCCTGGCCACTTGAGCCTTCACTCTTTAATTTCGGCTGGGCAAGTGCAGTGGCGGATTTGTCCTAAGGCCAGAAAATAAAAAAGTAACGAGAATGGACACTCTCCGCCCCTCCCTAGCATTAGATACCGCACCACACTCCACACATTGACGGTCATATTGACTGAACGACAAGGCTGTCGGCGAGCCGTTTTTGCGCTAACATGGTTTTGATATTTGAATATAGTTTTCATTTATTCATTACGAAACTTGTACGTTAATATATAACATTATTGTACTATTTATAATGGTCGTGAGTTGAGCTGTATACGGCTGTTTATCATCATCTAAACGAAGAGGAGTTTCTTTAATTTTCTGAAAGATGAAACGACGTAATTAAAAAATCTTATGTTTGAGTCTCATTTAGTTATTTTCTTCATTTATTTAGTGCACAGTAATGTATAATACAGATTTATTATATCAATATCAATTATATAATATAATGAGATGTAACATAGTGGACAAGGGTTCTCCAATTTTCAATTTGTATTACAGATAAATATGTAGTGAATATAATTATTAACTAAGTAATGATAAAGTTACATACGCAATTTCAAGTACCTTGGTTACCTTATTTAAAA